CGAAAAATCGCCAGTGGTATTATTTTTTGCCACGTTTTTCTGATCTTGAAAAAATATTCGTCTATTGACTGTTTGAAATGTGTTTAATTTACTTGCTCGGGAATACCCGTGACTCAATCGTGTTGAGTTATTTGGCGTGGATCAGTCTGTAACAAAGCCGGCCAGCATTGTTTTTCAAGTCCTTGAAAATCTCAAATCAGTTTTATGCTCTAGTTGACATTTTAATTTACACTTGCTTATTTCAGGACTTTCGAGACAACAATGTGCAGCCAATTATGGTAGAAAACTGCGACGTTTACTTTTATCGTGATGTGATCCCTGACTGGTCGCAGAACAGACAGTCGATCAGTGAGCTATTCGTCGGGTTTCTCAACTATTACGCTCAGTTCGACTTCGGGACGCAGGTTTGCACTTCTTTGGGTGTTTGGAGAACTGAGGCCTCAGCTATTATAATAGTCGGGAATTTCAACTACTGTTCTCTCCAGTTTAATTGGTTTGATAACCTTTTATCACTGGGAAGTGGAAATTGCAACATTACTTTCTCAACGAAATTAGACGTAAACATCACTCATTCATGAGTTAATGACGTCAACCAACGTTTACCAAACACATCTTCGGGAATGCGATACTAATTTAAAGTATAAATTAGAATTTCTTTTCGCCGGGAGCATGAAATGATCGATAAAAAAATTCGGTAGCTGTGCGACGTACGAGAGAAACTGTCAGGTTAATTTGAATTTTCGAACCTCAATTAACTTCGTATTCTTGAACGAATTAGTTGGCGGAGAGTGCTCACAGGCTCCATATAATTATTTCCAACCTTCGACGTGCCCGAGTTCAATTATAATTCTTATCAGTGTTCTCAGCGCTTGTACAAATCCTTTTTGTTGGAGTAACGGCGACTTCAGATGTCTTTCTTAAGTTTCTTCAGATTCCAAAGCTAGACTGGTACTGAAGTCTGAAAAACTTTGAAATAGCCGTTTCAGTTGATATTTTTCCTCCCATCTCCAAAAATTGGCAGACATTCTGGAAGATAGGTTGATGGTAGAAAAACGGGGTAGAAGTAGCAA